GGGTTTGAAGGACTACTTCTGCAAGTTTGGTGAAGTGAAAGAGAGTATGGTGATGAGAGATCCAGTTACAAAACGCTCAAGGTAAGGGAACAGCCAACCTGACTGGGAAGCGACAACAAACATACAAAGGCTTTTATTATTGACCGTATTGTCCGTTTTGCACAAATGGGTGGAGGTGTTGTAATTTTGATCCCTCTTTCCACTAGGGGTTTCGGATTTGTCACATTTGTTGACCAAGCTGGTGTGGACAAAGTCCTGGCCCAGTCCAGACATGAGCTGGACTCGAAAACTGTGAGTTTTTATCATCATTTAACTGCTGCGCTAACAGTCTTGTGTGTTGCGTTTAATAAAACCACTTCAGATACACATATTTTTTTATATTGCGCTATAATGAGTTTTAGTGCAGTATCTGACTGACTGAAATGCCAATATATAATTGTTCAGAGTCATAGATGCTGTGTATGCTTGTGAGGTTTCATTCCTCTTCACACTGGGTTTTGGTCAAACAATTCGGGAAGATTTGGAGAGAGAGAGCGAGAAAAAGTTCCCATCTCAGCCGTTCCTCAATTAGGTTGTCAGGGAAGCATTCCTATTCTGTGTCAATTGCTATGGTAACTAGGGGACCCGAACAGGGTATGCTGGGAGTTGCTGGGAAGCCTTTGTGGTGCCTTGTCTCAAGAGTGTTCACCAAACACATTAGACTCAGGCGGAATTCAGATTTTCCCCCTGTGGAAACTAGTCCTTGAACCCTGTGATGCCTCGGTGCTGTTTTACTAACAGGTGTACAAGGATTTTTAGGCCTTGTTTATGAATGACATTCATTGGATGAATAAAATAAACGTAATTTGGCATCAAAACGGATTAGTAGATTCAGTAAGAGTGCTAGAAATAGGAAACTTTAATGCAAGGTTTTGTGTTGCGGTGCATCTATTTGTGAGAGTCTTTGTCGCTGTGCAGAGCAGGCGGGTCCTGGGACAATGGTGCCCGTTGGTTACCATGACAACAGTGGAGTCACCCCCTAGGGGGTCAGTGGGGAGGGAGCATGAGGCCCGAAGGAGAAGAAAAAACTTTCTCATCTCTCTCTCTCCCTCTTCTGAAAGTTTGTTTGCACCGGTTCCTCATTTGAGTGAAAAACCGCCTCGCACTATGGCAACAGGTAGTACACGGCAAACCACAACGAAACTGTGTGTTTCTGTGCTTCAGAAATCCTCAGCACTTCAGGCAATTTGTTCACCGAGATCTTACACCAAAACAGGCAACCGAAGGAAAGAGACTGGAAAAGCCCATCGGACTCTTACATAAAACTACAGCGAGCGCTTAAAAAGTGTCTCAGTTCCAGTCTTCCACAGCCTGGCCGCTTGTGCTGTTTTCTAAGTGCCTCCCCACTGAGAGAGAGAGGCAGGCAGAGCCAGGGGAACATGGAGGCCTTTGTCCTGCTTTACCTCTATGACTGTGCCCCTGTGAAGGTGCCTTATGGCTGCTCGCCTGGGCCGACTTTAAACTGGAGATTAGCTTAACAAGCTCAGCGATGGGGAGGTGGAGGAGGGGAGGCCAGGAAAGAGAGAGAAACGTGTGCGGCGCAACTCATAAAAATCACAATTTTAAGTCAGCGGTCTTGGGATGCACTGTTGAGCGTTCTTGTGGATGGTGCGGTCGTTCTGTGTGTTTGTGTGTTTGTGTGTTTGTCTGTATGTGATTGATGCACACCGCTAGGGTTTTGGCGATTGACCCTAAAGGATTGACCTGGTTAGTTAAGTCCATTGACTTAAAATAGTTTTGACAGGGATGGCAATTGTGGCCGTTTAAGGGCACATTGTGGTCAGATACTATTCAGATATGTCCTTTTTTTATTGTATTTCTGAAATTATGTGAGTATGTGTTTTCATGTTAAAGAAAGCTGTGTCACTGGATGTGTTTATGTTTTCCCAAGATGGAAAATTTGTGAATCGAAGGGTAATGTTATTCCCAGAGCCACAGAGAAGTATTGACAGCATCTGAAAACACCCTTAAAATAAACACACAAATCAGAATATCCATACAAAGTGTGCATTTGTTGTGCACACTTTAATACTGAAGTGTATTAGCGCTGGGAGTCAAACTCAAAAAGAGGTTTTCATTGTACTCGACCTTTGGGTCAAGTGAGAATACAAAAAGAGCACATAAGAGTTTCCAAGATAAAAAAGTAAAACGTATCAGGTTCTTAGAAATGTAGTCTTTCTGTTCATTTTGGTTTCAGATGGTTTTAAAATACTTTTATTTAACACAAGTTTCATTTTTATTTTATTTAACATAGGTTTAACATGTTTTAATTTACAAATAAAAATGTCTGCCCCAGTTAAAAAAAAATCTAAGTATTTTCCTTACACATTGAATACATGTAAATATACACATCTTAATCAGTATTTTTACGTTTTTATTAAATAATTGTATTTTTAATTTTTAAAAATTTTGGTCACGCCACATTTTTTTTAATTTAGTGGACCAGCTTTTTAAACATTTATAAGCAGTGGAGCATATTTCTTAAAATATTATGTAAATAATAGTAATAATAATGAAAATAAAATAGTATTTGAAGAATTGCTTTCTTTTTTTCTATTTTTTTTCTTCATTATGATATCAGGACAGGTGTATCACCCCGCTATATTATTTTCTTTACATTTTTTACTTCATGGCCCCCCCCCCCCCCCCACCCAAAAAATATCAAAATACCTTTTAATTAAGAAATTGAAACCGTGCTTACAGTAGAAATGGTCTAGTAATTGTATGAATCACATTTTACTATGTTTAATATACATTAAAAAAAATGAAGACTGAAAAAGTGTAAAAGTTGAAGAGTTGAAACCTCATGTCTAAAACGAATGTAAATTTAGTGAAAGTCTATAGTGGATAAACTTAAAATCCCTCAGAATGGAATATTGTATTCATTGTATGTATTTTATATAATGATTAACTGTCAACTGTCATTTCATTGAACCATTGCGTGATAAAATGCAAAAGATATAAGCAAACATTCAAGACCGAAAAAGCGTAAAAGTTTAAGATTGACCACTAATGTGAATGTATTGAATGTCTATGGTGTTTAAACATACGAGCCCCTACTGAATCCATTACTTTTCAGTGTCTCTCCACTCTCCACATGGTCAAAACCAACTCTAATGACAATAATCTGTTTTATGTGACCATACATTTTATCCTCAGCTTTCCTCTCATGTGCGTATGTTGATTTTGTTTGTTTGTGTGTGTGTCTGTTTGTTTGTTTTTGATTGTGCACAGGAGTGGTGCGGCCTCAGCAATGTTGTGGACCGGAGGTGACTATCAGAGTAGTCTAGAAACTATAGACATACTGTAAACCGTAGCCTCTGCATCAGATCTCTGTTCAGATTAGCTTAGCCTCTTCATTTTACTCTCTAGATTCACAAAGAAACTCTGTTACTCGTAGTCTGTTGTATGAAAACAAACGGGCGACTCTGGTAAACTGCTGTAGTTTACCTCAGAGCTGCTAGCTCTTTAGCATAGCTCTATTCGAACCCTCTCTCGGACAGACTAATCATTATTGCTGCTAGCGCTGTACTGCCTTCACTGTCTTCTAGAATTTAACCTCAGTACAGCATGACGTAGACTAGCATTTGGTAAATAGATGGACTAGACTATAGACTAATATAGAGTATCTTGAGTATCTGTAATCTAGTTTGTCTACTGTGGCAGTGGGTGCTAATCAACATCAAATTTTCTGCACATGGTTCCTAAATAAAAAATCGAATGGTATATCAAAATGTTGTTGCTACATTTACACAAATTTAGCTTTAACTCTGTTTTAATGCATTTAAGTGCAAGCATACTGTAGATTCAAGGAGCTGGATGCTATTTGTAATGTTTCACAACTCATTTTCCAGATTTAGACACCAATAAATAATAATCAGACTTTTAGAAAGAAAGAAAAGAAATAGAAAGACATGCAAAAACAAACAAACACAAACAAACAAAATGTTTTGTTTGGCTGTCCGAAGAGTGTGTGGGTCAAAGATGCTTTTCTGCTTGAGTTTCTGTGCCTTCTTTTGTTTTCTGACCAGTCTTCTTCCAAGGAAACCTGGTTGTGGTGTTTCCCTGAGTGTTTTTCATGTCGTCCAGTGATGTTTACAGGAAAGCTGACCCTTCTCTTGTCCAGTCACAGGTGGCCATGACAGCCTCTTCTGTCTAGTCATACTCATCCATTTCCATTTGCCTCACATAGAAACCTGTAAACTTTTCTCCCTGTTTCTCTGTCGTCTGTGAACGTTACACTCTCTGATTTAAGGGGTCTTCACACTGACAGCAACAAAGCGACTCCAAGTTTGCCAGTTACGGTTGGCGATGAGAAAAGTCACATTGCAGGGACTAACAATTGGTTTGAAGGAAATTAATACTGTTTTTGAGGAAAGACGCATTAAACTGATCAAAAGGGACAGTAAAGACATTTACAATGTTACAAAAGATTTCTATTTCAGGTAAATGCTGTTCTGTTGAACTTTCTGTTCAACAAAGTATCCTAAAAAAAAAAGTGAATTAACAGTTTATACTAAAATATTAAGCAGCACTACTGTTTTTAAAATCGATGATAAGAAAGAATGATTATAGTGTAAAAATTATAATAATATTATAATCATCTAATAAATAATTTTAGAATGATTTCTGAAGGATCACGTGACACTGAATACTGGAGTCATGATGCTGAAAATCCAGTTTTGCCATCACAGGAATAAATTGCATTTTTACATATTTTCACATAGAAAGCCGTTATTTTAAATTGCAATAATATTTCACAATATTACTACATTTTTGCAAATACATGCAGCCTTGGCAAGAGGCTTCTTAATTCTTAAAAGTCTTCCTTTAAAAACATTACAAAATCATACCAAAACCAAAACTTAATACGATAGTTTATTTAGGGATATGATTATCAAAATTATGAGTTTTATGAATGATGACATTATTCAGTACTACAGTTTATATACAAGCACTTTTCTTCCAAAATAAACATTTTTTGCAGAAACAAACTGAACACAGAAAAATGAGTCTTGTTTATAATTTTTTTTTCAGTCATTTTATTCCAATTAATTGTGGCAGCCCTAGAACACACACTGTAACAGTACAAAAATAATACATATTCAGTCTATTTCATGTTAATGCTGCATATAGTATTACCAGGTCTATACAGTTTTTTTTTTCTTTTTTAATAGAGTCTTATTTACTTACTTATCTGTAATAGGATGTCCAAAAACTACGGCCAATGGCTCAGCCAACCAGTAATATTAGGAACGTCTTCAAGCGACCAATAATTCAACAACCTGGCAACATCTAACAATAAAATCACTGACAGTGTGAATGGAGCGTTATTCTCTTCTCAATAGTTTCTCACTGGCAATTCTCTCTTTAGACGAATCTACATTACTTTTTTCATTTCTCATCACTCTTGTCCTTCCCTGAATTCTGCATGTATGAATGTACCATCATTCTCAGACAGTAAAGTTAATGCAGGGTGCAGTCAGAGCCTTTAAAACACACAGGCAGATGTCCCTGCAAGGACAGAGAGACACCAACCGAAACCAGAGCTCAGAGGATGTGAGCTCCTCACTGATGTTCTCATTTATAGTCCTGGGTGTGTTGGTGTCAGTCTTCCCCTTTCTCCAGAATTTCTAAACTAGACCTTCTCCTCTCAAACTCTCCTCTAGATTGACCCGAAAGTTGCCTTTCCGCGACGAGCCCAGCCTAAGGTATGTGCCTGACTGGTCCACGTGGTCAAGATGCTTGATAATATCCAGCTTTTTGTTGTTTTTGAAGATCTTCATCTCTCCAACCTATCTCTCTTTTTCAGTTGGTGACTCGGACAAAGAAAATCTTTGTTGGAGGTCTGTCAGTGAACACTACTATTGAAGATGTAAAGCAGTACTTTGACCAGTTCGGAAAGGTAAGTCGTCTGTGTTACAGTGTTACAGTGATTTTACTATGGGTAAATGATGTTCTTAGGCTTGGAACAAGGAATAGGACTAATATTCCAGTTTGGTGAGGAAGCATGAAAGAGGGAACAAGAAAGGCGCAGAGAGACTGAGAGAAAGAGTTGGGGTAGAGTTTGAGAGTTTGGGGAAGGTGGGGGAGATTACTTGAATCTGAATTAATTTGATGGAACAGCTGCTCCTGCCCTCAGCCCCCCTCCTACCCGGTTACCACGGTGACCCTGCCCATCCATTGTCCCCAAGTAATTTAGCGGGCAAAAGGTTTTGTGTTTGGGGTGTGTGTGTGTGTGTGTGTGTAGGAGAAAAAACGAGGGAGAGACCGTGTGTTTAGGGGGAGGACGAATGTTCATAACTGAAGTAACACAACAATACATGCCAAAATCTGACGGGCTTCTGTAATAGATCATCTAACGTTTCTTTGCATCACACTTCAGTTACACATTGTCAGTGCAAAACTTGGGCAGAAAATAATTCATCATTCTTGAGCCATACTTAAGTGTGTGGAATGCAGACAGAGAGAGAAAAAGAGAGAGAGATGATAGTCGCAGCCACCCGGGGAAGTTGCAGATTAGTTTGCCTCACTGGTCACTTTGTGTTCTGGCCTGGTTTGAACAAGGGATGGAGAGAGGGAGCGATGGAGAGAGAAAAACAAACACCATGATAAGAAGCACACAGAACAAGATGGGACTCGATATGTAACTCAATTAAAAAAAGATACTAGTTAAGATTGGAAAATTTGAAAGGTTATTAAATACAAACGTGTGAAAAGTGAGAAAAGCTCACAGCTTTCTACTTGACCTGACCTTTAAAGGTGCACTCAGGAATTTCCCTCATGTAGGCAGTTGTTTTTGAAAATATTATCAGATTTGACAATGTGATAAATCATGTACACTCACATGAGATGAAGACTATAGTCAATAACAGCTGTTTTATGGGGGCTGCCTTATTTGTATCACAAGGCCAGACAAACGCTTGCTTTATCCGTACCTCTCGTCACAATTAGGTAGGCACTTTATTCCAAAGCAACTTGCGTTGCATTCAAGGTAAACATTTTATCAGCGCTTGCTCTCCCTAGGAATCGAAGCTTTGTCCTTGGCATTGCTAGCGCTTGCGCTGCTGTCTGAACTACAGGAATTCTGTTCTGTTGTTTAAGAGTGTGGGTGACCTAAACTGCTGATTTTCTTTATGTCCAAGACTGCCATATAGGCAAATACAGCATAATATAATTCTAAATGACAGAAAATTAAATTTCTACAATACTATATTGTATGTACAATTCTACATTTCTACAATAATATTGGTAACTTAAACTGTTGATTTTTGGTTTATGTCAAAGACTGTCATGTAGGCAAACACAACATATTAATAATGCTAAATGACAGAAAATGAAATGAACAAAAAAATTATTAAATTAAATGAACACTTAAAAAAAAAAAAAATTTTTCTTTAAATTCACATTTCTGCAATAATATTGGTGACTTAAACTGTTGATATTTCTTTATGTTCAAGACTGCCATATAGGCAAATAATGCTGATTGACAAAAAATTAAATGTACATAAAATTGATGAAATTAAAAAAAATATGACTTCAGATTCACATTTCTATGATAATTTTGGTCACTTAAACTTAAAACAAACTTAAACTGTTGTTTTATCTTTATGTCCAAGACTACCATAACAACAGTGGTGAGTGACAAAAAATGAAATGTGCATAAAATTGATTAAATTACATTAACATTTCTTAAATTATTTTAAACAATATTTACTCAAAGTTCACTAACTATTTTGTATCGTGATCCACCAAAATTTCAGCAACTGAAAAAATTAGAAAAAAAAAAGAAGTTCCGGCTGGAATACTTTTGGAGGATAAAAATTCATGACCGGAACAATTAGCACTTTTTCAGTTACCCATTTTGACTGTGTCAGTGTCTTTTTTGCGCACACAACATGGATAAACTACAATGGGTAAACATGTCAGCAGCACTTCATCCTGACCAAAAATTATGCTAGAGTAGCAATGTACAAACAGCTTGCTGCTGAACAACTTTTAATAACACTTTATTTTAAGGTGTCCTTGTTACACGTTACATGTACTTACTATTATAATAACACTAAATTATGCATAATTAAATGCAAGTAACCCTAAGACAAACCCTAATCTAACCTTAACCATATACAGTAGTAAGTACATGTAGTTAATTAATATTACTCAATACTTAAATGTATAATTACACTGTAGGACACCTTAAAATAAAGTGTTACCCAACTTTTAATACCACTGGTTCTAATTTATCCCTACCCCTACCCTACCTCCTTACCCAAATTGAATTACTGAAACTTTGTTTTCTGTTCTGGTTTTCAATTAAATGAAGGTGAAAAGAATATTTTTGGTACATCACTAACTTTTGTTTGTTATCCATTGATTAAAAAAAAAACATCTCCAAATGACCAAATATCAGCCAATTAATAACTAGTAATATTAAACCCTATACTACACTATTAGACAAGCTCTTTTTCCAGGCACACACATTAAAAGATGAGTAAAAGGACATGGAGAAGGAACACAGAGAGTGTTATTGGTCTTTTAGTTAGTCTTCACCAAGAGACTGTGAGCGTGTGCACACATCAAGTGTTGATTGGTCAGGCTGTCCACTTGTGTTTCATATTCTAGATTGAAAGTTTTTCATCCTCTTTCTTGTTCACACAAAGACCTCGAAGTTTGACCTTCACCTCTGACCTTTAGGTTGAAGCTGTCAGTATGCTCACTGTGACACTTTTTTGCACACACATACAGATGCTAAAACACAAGTCAGTACACTTTCTCCCTTCTTACTTCTAACGGAAACCCTATGATATTGCAGTTAGCATTCCAACTAATTAACTAGTTCGCAATGTTTTAAATATGCACTTGTAGTGTTGGCTGCTTCAAATCTTAAATATATATATTTATCTTAAGTGTACTTTACAGTTTTTTTCAACTGCTTACACACATTTTCAAAACTTTGCCTCTTTTTTTCCAGACTTTACACACAAATCCAAGAATTGCACACACAAAATGCAAAATGCCTCACATCTCTTGCAAAATGAAGCACTGCATTCAAAATATCACAAACACATCTCAAAAGCAAACATTTGCAAACTAGTTGAGGGTTTCAGGCCGTCTTTTATTTTCTCTGAAGCAAATTAAAAATAACATGAAAATTAAAAATATTTATTCAAAATAAATTAATACGTGTGGAAAAAATCCTTTCCCTTCTACCACGCGCACTCTGTGCCTCCTCCTAGCAACAATAACTGCAGCCATTTTAAGCGCAAAATAGTTTAAGACATGCGTTTTTGAGGCGTTAAATAATGGCGCAAATGGCAGTAATTTGACGAGCGCAAAAGTTAGTAAAACGCATTTCGTGATTCATTTGAATACTATCCTCCCATAACTTTTGCATCTGAAAGGGAAACTCCTACAAATGCATATTCAATAAGGTCAGGCTCAAAAATAACTGTCCACGCCTGTTCAGCGCTAATTCGTCACTGGGCGTCTTTAGTAAAACCTGACAGTACAATCGTAACGCCAAAAGACAGTTTGCGCTGGCACAAGCTATTAGTAAAACTGGCCCTTGTCGCATAGGCGGAGCGCGTGTAAGGCTGGGGAAGGCTTAAGGCTGATTTATACTTATGCGTCGGACCTACGCCGTAGGCTATGCGTCAGTTTTCATTTATACTTCTGCGTCTGTGTCTGCGTCAACGTGCAGTACACATGCAAACCGCTAGTCAGCAGTGTCCACGGGCATGTTGCTGGTGTAACCCGCAGTACCACGGCAAAAGCCGAAGAAGAAGCGGCTCGTCGGAGAAGCATTATAGCCGTGACGGCGGCAAATAAATATCAAATCATTAAACGCTTGCGATCTGCATAGAATTTATGTGCTGTTAAATTTTTGGAGAGGTGCACGTCAGACTACGGCGTATGGGTGTGCGTCTATGCGTAAGCTACGGCGTAGGTCCAACACAGAAGTATAAATCAGCCTTTAGCCTTCCCCTTGACCACGGGGACTTGGGGCAAAAATGCCACTAAACTGGACAAAAATGCCCCTGCACAAACAAATTAAATCTATTACGTCTGTTGCTAACAACGTGAATATGAATAGACAGTGTCGATTGCGGCATGTTGCACCGTATTTCATTTTAGGCGTTTTTACAGTGTTGCGCATTTTAACCAATCACACACATATCTGTTGAGCTTAGGAATGCAATGGCCAATCAGAAGCGTTCAGATGAGTCATCGTTTAAACTCATCAGTTTTGTTGAGAGCGCGCGCGTTCGCTGACTGAATTCCGGACTCTTGCGAATTCTCTCATCATAAACAACAAAGCGCAGATGTACGTACAATGTAAGTAAGAGATTCATTTCACAGTATACAGCTTCAGCATAATTGAGTTGGCCTATGCCTTGGCGTGTGGTCTAGTGTTTGAGTGTCAGGTTTCAGAAATTATGTGACAAGTAAAGATTTTGTATGTAAGCAGTTGAAAAAAAAACTGTAAAAGATTTAACTGACTATTTCTTAATTAACACACTTTAACTTTTGTCATCATTTACTCAAGTTGTTCCAAACCTGTACGAGTTTCTTTCTTCTGTTGAATACAAAAAAAAAAGCTATTTTGAAGAATGTTGGTAACCAAACAGTTAACAGTAGCCATTGACTTCCATATTTGTTTTCTATTTTATCTATTTAATAAATAGATTTATTTTCTATTTATTTTCCATAACTATGGAAGACAGTGGCTACCGTCAGCTGTTAAATGCTAAATTGCTAAATTGTGGTGACCTTTAAAGACTCCCTTAAAAGTTGACAAAACTAACAGATATACATGTTTAATATTTTCACTTCCAGAAAAACTGAAATAAAAAAAAACACTGATGACTCATCCTGCACTTCTCATATTTTTATCCAATCAAATGCCCCTATAAGCTCAAACTGACCATCATGTAGCATATTATGGTTTATGGCTATGATGTAGCTAAAGCCTATTGGCCATTTACAAAATAAAAGACATGCCCTTTTATGTTGCCTCAAACATTCTGTTTCAGTAGGATATGCGTCATCACAAGATTGAAAACGGTGACTAATGCTATAGATAACAAATAATCTCTTTCTCTTCCTGTCCTACAGGTGGATGACGCCATGCTTATGTTTGACAAAACCACCAACAGACACAGAGGTAAATTTCCCTTTCTCTATATTTCATTAAATAACTGTGCAGCCAATCTCCCGTTTGCTCCTTCCTTCCTAAACCTGGTCCAATCTGTCTCCGTCTCTTCTCCATGGCCCTCTATCCTGTACTCTGTAGGATAAGCGGTAGGTGAGGAGAGAGATTGAGTAATTAGTGTGTTTGTTAATCAGGGTTTAGGCTAAAACCTCGTTAAGCGCCCTTCCCTCCCCCTCGCCGGTTCGAAAGCACATCGATTATGACAGCTTGCATGCCTTTCAACCCAGCGGAGAGGTGGAGGAGATGAGACACATGGAGAGACAGACAGGAGACCAGAGCAGTACTTGAGAAGAGAGAAGCGAGTTTTGTTGGAAAAAAAACTAGTAGATCTTTTTGTTGAGAAAATCTAGCACTGTTTACGGAGACGAAGTGGACACGTGTATGACTTCAAAGGTTTAAAAAAGAATACAGGTCACAGGAAATCTATGTAATTACGGTATTAAGGGTGAACCTTAAGGACACAAGGACATTCACAAATATTTAACCTCAAAATGGAGAGGTTACAGGCACAAAGAAAAAGCACATTCAATTCGTTTTTACAGATACTTGGGGGAGTCCAAACGCCTGAGACTACAATCTGGGATGATTTAAATATGAATATAAAAAAGAAAAAGTTTTTTTTTTTTTTTGAAGTAAGGAAATGTTATGATTCTGCCCTAAACAAAGTGACAATGATCGTGTGATTTTTTTTTTTTTGGTGGATGTAGACATTCTGTAATTTATGTACACTACCGTTCAAAAGTTCAGGGGTCAGTATATATAAAAAAGAAAAATAAATTAATACTTTTATTCAGTAAAAATGTTACATTTTAATTTAATACAAATAATTAAAAATTCATTTGTAACAAAAATATATTTCAAATAAATGCCTTTTTGAAACTTTCTATTCATCGATAAATTCTGGAAAAAAAAAAAAATTATTGCAGATTACACCAAAAATTAATCAACTATTTTCAACACTGAAGAAATATTTCTTGAGCAGCAAATCAGCATATTAACATGAATTCTTATGGATCATGTGACACTGAAGACTGGAGTAATGGTGCTAAAAATTCAGCTTTGCCATCACAAGAACAAAATACACTTTACAATAGATTAAAATAGGAAACAATTATTGTAAATGGTAATATTACTGTTTTTATTGTATTTTTGTTTAAATAGACGTAGCATTGGTGAGAATAAGAGGCTTCTTGCAAAACATAGCAGTGTACTACATAAATAGTTAAATAAATTCAAATTTTCACTCAAATTGTTATGCTGATAATATAATTTTGTAACAGAAGCATTTCCATTAGTGGTCTCAGACTTTTGGACCCTAAATAAAAAGTATGATGGTGGTACTGTGGTACATTGATTATATCAGATGGTACTTTGATGTTTACCATGGTACATGTCCCCAAAAAATGGTAGTATCATTGTGATATCACAGTCATTCTGGTATTTATTTAACAAGGTTTGTGAGAAGGGAAGTAGAATTTGTTGGTAGTTTCATCTGACCTTCTCACCTGAAGTTGAACTGAAGTACATGAACTTTAGACATTGTTTATAATGATGGCTGAAGTGGAAATCCAAATGTAAACTGCGGTCTGAGCGTCTGGACTCTTTCTTGCCTCAGGGTTTGGATTTGTGACCTTTGAGAATGAAGATGTGGTGGAGAAAGTCTGTGAGATCCACTTCCACGAAATCAACAACAAGATGGTGAGAATTCTTATTCTGAGACACTGTTACGCACTGCTACAACTTGTGTTTGACTGACTGATATCTTCCCTTTCCACTCACAGGTGGAGTGTAAGAAGGCCCAGCCCAAGGAAGTGATGTCACCCACAGGCTCTTCAAGAGGTCGTGCTCGTGTCATGCCCTATGGGATGGATGCCTTCATGCTCGGCATAGGAATGCTGGGTAAGAGAGTAGATTACAAGGATGATTAGAGCTTAAAGCATGGAATGGACTCTTCTGCCCTCTGCTGTTCAGAGTGAAAAATGCAGTCTGGAGAAGCCATAAAATTCATACCGAAGACACAAATGCTACCCTTTCATTCTACTATATTGACTAATATTGATTTAGTATTAATTTGAGTTATCATATAACTGTTAATAATATTTAAATTATTGATAATATTCAAATCAAATATTATTTTACGCATATAATTGTTTAACAAAATATTATATGGTTTTGTTATTTACTCACAATACTTTATGAATAGACATTAATTGGTGTCATATTTTTCCCCAGGTTATCCAGGGTTCCAGGCAGCAACATATGCAGGTCGCAGCTATACTAGTCTCACACCAGGATACACATATCAGTTCCCTGGTAAAACTCAATGTCCAGCTCATGCATTCTGTAGGCCTTTTCACACATTGGTTCACGGGAATTAACTCTCTCTTGGGATGAGACTTTGCAAACACTCATTAAATACATTATTCAATATTGGGTTTTTGAATCAGGAAGGGATTGTTTATCAGTTTATAAATAAGCAATATCACATGAGTAGCCGTGCGATATGGCTGTATATCGGCACGGCTGTGATATGGCTGTAGGCACGACTACAACTACATTCATGCCTAAAAAATTGTAAAACTACATTCTACGACACAAAAACAGTATTATTTATACAATTCTAGTGGATTTGGGCATCCGCCATGACACTCGCTGTGAGAAATATCGCAAACGGAGTGATTTAAACAGTGAAATGGTTGGAGTTCTGTTATCACTACAATATTGCACTCCTCTCAGCCAATCAGATTCAAGGACCAGAAAGAACTGTTGTATAATTGCATATAACCAATTCAGTGACCATATTGTAATGGCTGTCAAATAAAAATGGCCAACATGTAGTTGCTAATTATGCTTTTGAACATTATCTGGCAGTCTTGGTAAAACATTTGATGTAACCCAATTTCCACATGCACAAAGTTAAATTAAAATTAATATTAATATTAATAGTCATTCATTGAAATTGAAATTTTGTGATTAGATTTTATGTGTAAAACCACATAGGTGACACTGGAGCACAAAACCAGTCATAAGTAACATGGGTATATTTGTAGCAATAGCCAACAATACATTGTATGGGTCAAAATTATTATTAATTTTTCTTTTATGCCAAAAGATCATGTTCCATGAAGATATTTTGTAAATTTCCTACCGTAAATATATATAAACTTAATTTTTGATTAGTAATATGCATTGCTAGCTTGGACTTTGTGGTCCAGGGTCACATATATTAGATTATACTTTATGTACAGTACCATTCGGGGTCGGTAAGATTTTTTAATGCTTTTGATGGAAGTCTTTAATGCATACCAAGGCTGCATTTATTTGATCAGAAATGCATACAAAACAGTAATAATGTGAAATATTATTACCATTTAAAATAACTGTTTTCTGTTTGAATACATTTTAAAAAGTAATTTATTCCTGTGATGGCAAAGCTGAATTTTCACACAATCCTTCAGAAATCATTCTAATATGCTGATTTGCTGCTCAGTTAACATTTCTTATTACTGTCAATACTGAAAACAGTTGTGCTGCTTATTATTTTTGTGAAAACCAGTCATTTACCCAAAAACCCATAGAGACCCATGGCTGCTTGTAAATCTTAGAGAGGCGGTCTAAAGGCCCGTTCACACCAAGCACGATAACTATAAAGATAACGATAAAGATATAGTTCTAAAAATCGTTCTCAATATTAAAGAATAGCATAGTTCACACCACAACTATAACGATAACGATACAGAGGAACGATATCGTTGTGATCACTTTCAAAACGATTTTTTTCCAGCTGATGAACGATAAAACACTGACAGCCAATCAGAATCCATCCTGCTGTAACGAGCTCAAGAATTTAAAGCGGCAGACGCATGTGCGCTTAGAATAAACAGACGATATCGTTCGCTGGTGTGGACGCTAATATCGTTATTTTTATAGTTATCGTTCTTGGTGTGAACAGGGCTTTAGACTGTCTTTCTGTGTGTCTTGCCACTCATAGGCCCTGTAGTGCTTGTCCATGTGTGTAGTGTGAACAGCACTTGTGTGTATGTTTAAACCGCTTTCTGTGTTTATCTCTATTCTAGAATTCCACTTAGAGAGGACCCCCCTTCTGACATCACCCCACCCCCCTGAGCTCACAGGTTAGTTCCTCTATGAGCTTTACAAGCAGCTATTGCACACGGCCAACACACAGCATAGCGTGATCTGATTGCTGTAAGCTAACGTTGTGACAACAGCACCCAGGAAATCCTGCATAACAGGCGTTACCACACATTATCAGAGCATTGTTTCTTACTCAGTATGATGCAAGCTCTTTTCCCACTGCTTTCGTACTGCTTGATACTGATTAAGTTCTCTTTCCTGTTTGTTTGCTTGTTCTACGTGTATGCGGCTGTTTTCGTAGCCATTCCTCTAACGGCGTACAACCCCATGGCGGCAGCCGCAGCAGCAGCAGCTGTGGTCAGAGGTGCGAGAATTTTGTTTTTTCTACATCCCACACACGACCCATGCTCAGGAAATAAGAGCTCACACCCCAATGGCTGGCCTATATAGCTTTAGGATTTCCGGTTAATGAAAAGTGATTGCGACATTGTGGAATGTCATGTTGATTTGTTCTGTAGGCTCAACTCCTTCTCGCTCAGCTGGGTTTTTAGGTACCAGCAGCCCTGGGCCGATGGCAGACCTGTATGGAACAGCCAATCAGGACTCAACCATCAGTAGCTACATCAGCGCTGCAAGCCCCGCCCCCAGCACTGGATTCAGCCACAGTCTCGGGGTGAGTCAGTGACATGCAGTGCTGCTATTGTGGACTAAAACTAAAAACTATTAAAAACATTTTCAGTCATTGAAATGAAGCTGGAAAAAACTACACTTAAAAAAACAGCATCACTAAAAATTAGAAATGTTGCTTTGGCATAAAACTAAAAGCTATATAAACATTTTCAGTCACTGAAATAAAGGTGGAAATAAACTACACTTTAAAAATAGCATCACTAAAAATTAGAAATGTTGCTTTGGCAAATAACTTAAAAATCATTTTAAGCTAAAGGACTAAAATTACGAAAACACAAAATTACTAATATTTAAACTACATTTAAAATGAAAACTGAAAATAGAAAAATAAAAGCTAACTCAGAACATTAACAAATACTATAATAGTGTAAAATACATTTAGAAATGTTCTCTTTGTATTCATACTGGTTCCATAAGGTTTAAAAAACACATTTCGACCATTTTCAAAAAAAAAATTACGTTCATTTAATGACTCTAAAAACATTCTGTGGTGTAACCAGCAACTAAAAAAATACATAAATAAATAAACATATATTTGTACATTTTGAATACATGTATGTATGTTAATCATTTTCAAATGATTTTTAAATATATATTTTTTAAGAATTCATAAATATCAATTTTTCGGAGTTACACCAGGTGACATTTTAAAACCTTGAAATGAAATGAAAGGTTAAATTATTGACCCTGACACACAGTCATGAGTGTCTGCAGGGCATATTTTCAAATATCAGTAGTAATTATTAGCTGTAATATTTCTAGGTAATAATAATTACTATTATTTATTATAAATTGTTATAAATAATTCACCAAAAAGTAATATAAGATTTCATATAAGTGTATTCAAGTCATTGTACATCTGAATTGCATTTTAGTGTATTTTTTTAATTAATCGCGAAAATCTGATGAACTATGAATTTGATAACTGAACTTTAAATAAGTAAAAATAAGCAAGTTATTCCTGTGGATTCCTTTATGCTGCATTAAAATTCATGCCGTATTTGTATCTTTACAGGGCCCTCTGATTGCCACAGCATTTACTAACGGCTATCACTGAAATGAGTGACAGGTACAATAGTATTCATGGTTCTGACGTCTTCCACACATCTTAAGGAAGGATTTTTGAAGTATGTGGTGATTTCAATCGAATATAACGGATGCACTCTACGTGCCCGCAGCATTTTGTTATTTTCTCAAGCTCTCTGTTTTTGAATGGTTTTGGATGACATGAATCAACTCTGATGGAATGTCGGCTGCAACACTATTAATGTGATTTGACATATTTCCTGTTTTATGAATTACTGTCATATCAGTCTCTAAACTAACCTCCTGCTCGTCTTATATAGAGCTAAACCTGTAAATAACTAGTTCATTTCTCAGTTTTAAACGCTATCAACTTAAGTCTATTTTTTGTCTTAGTTTTATTTTTTCTCTCACAGTTCTTGTTCAAAGTTTTGTCTTTTTTGTGATGACATTATGTACATGTAGGTTTGTAACTGTAGAAAAGCATTTTCATTTAACAGCATAAGAGCAATAATCTGTGTCAAAACTATTTGGATCTTTGTAGCGTATTTAAAAGACTAAATCGCTTTCAGACACATTTGGTAAATTTTCTACTGAAGAATATAGTGTGATGGGATGTCAAAATGTATATTTTGTTAGTTTTGCAACTGGATTTATTACATTGATCATGAAAATAGCAGTAATTATAAGGAGAACATATTTCTCAGACTTAGATTCGACCTTGTTTGTGTAAAATATTGTACATACTATCTTTTTGATCTGGTGAGATCTGTCGGCGTGATTAAGGGAGTTTTTTACACTCAAGAACGCAAACACATGATATCCTGTGTCCAAATTTTTTTTTTTTTTCATGATTTGATGAACTTGAACTTTTTGTTTTATTTTGTTCAGTGTTTTTTTGTGACAGAACAGAAGGCAATGTGAATGATGCTACTGCTGAGTGAGTGTGTGTCTGTGTGTGTTTGAGAGTGAAAGCATGTCTGGTGCTGTCATGATCTAATGTATTATCTTCAGTAAGATGTTTTAAAATGTGAAGTGTAACCCCTATTTCCATGCTGTTTTGTTGCTTTTACCAAGTTTATATCCATAACACAATTCCTTTAATCTCTTTTAGAGGTTTAAAGTGTTGCAATAATTAGAATATAAATATGCTTCAATTAACTGAAGATTCTGGTACTGGTGAAAAAAAAAAAGTAGCAACACTAATATAACACTTTTTATGAAGTAAACAGGATGGCTGTTATTAATTGAAAGTTTTAATGTTTCTTGTTTGAAGCTTGACCCTCTGATAAAATGAAATAAAAAAAAGTTAAAAGTACATTTGGAAATGCCAATTAAATTATTTCAAATTTCAAAACTCCTACATGATTTAAAACTGCATGACTCACTTTACACCAGACGTTGCCTGTTAATTTTGTTAGTCTTTTTTTTATTCAGCTGTGGCTTCAGAGCATGTCAAATCGCCTACAGTCTGTTACCGATTCTGTCTTCTGAAAGCGCACACTGAACACTCCCACACAGAAATCTGTATTCACGGGACATTTGTGAAAATATATTGAAACTAAAGATTTTGCTCAGGATGAAACAGCATTATCTTGTTGTTGAAGCACGTCATATGACTAGGGCTTTTACCGTTAAGTCGCTAAATGGGGTTGCGTAGGCAGCAACACGTATCAGTCTTTTTTGGTAAACATCTCTGTTCACTAAACATTTTATTTTTTGTCATCTTCTTGTATCACGCTTATTGCTACAAAACTTACTATTGACACCAAAAAGTAGTAACCTGCAACTATTAGCTTAAAGAGCTATTTTAACTTCAATTTTAACAATTGCAGTTTAATTCCTATATAAAGTCATTTCATACTGAAACAGTATCTTTTCAGTGCACTAACAGTCTTAAAAATAAAAGCACTAGCAAATAAACTACTCACAAAACATTTTGCAATTCTATGAGGTTGCATATCTGTTCGGCCTTTTGAAGAATGCTATAAAAAAATACTGTATGTTCAAGCTCACTACTTAACCTTAATCACTTGGAAGACACAAGAAAATGTGTAATTATAATTTTATCTTAAATATATATACATGCACCTTGAGCACAATACATCTTAAAATAGACTCAAATGTGAGCCGACAATATTTAATAATTCAGTCTTCATGAGTATTACATGAAGAAACACAAAGAGAAATACACTTTTACAGAAATACCCTTACTAAATTGGGCAAAACAGGACCAAAAGCTTGAAGTGCCATTAAAAGACTGTTGATGACAGTCATATGCAAGGCGAAAGATTACAGTGTGAATAAAATTCAGGCAAATAATGCTTAACCTTCATCCTTTGGTCCTTTCTTTATGTGGACCTCAGAGTATGTCACTGATTCCTCGGTGCAGCTCACTGAAGTGTGTGTCGGAGCTGGACAGTTCTAAAAAAATAAGTCATGATATAATGACAAAATAATTGCATGTGGTTACATATAAAGTGCAAGTGCAAAAGTAAACAATGCTGTCCATTTGCTTTCTGAATTGTTAACGTAACAATTAACTAAGCATGAGTTGAATACTACAGACTAAAAGGCTCTTGATAGCCATTATTTACCTCATTTCTTGATTTCACACTGTCTCGAGGAATGTTTAATGCTGCATAAACAACAGTTTCACGAGTGTCCGGGCATTGTGATCCACGGGTAGCATCAACCTGAGAGTGAAATAACTTATTTGAAAACTACAATATTACTTTTCTGAAAGACCATCAGCTCTGCCAATATTCACAATCAAATGAAAAAATTAAATAAATCAACAAACTTCACTCACCAGGGCTTGTTTTGCTCTAGGTTCTATTCTGCAGTGTCCTACTTAAAATAATAATAATAAAAAATTTGATAGTGAGTTTCAAATCTCAAGCACATTGTGATAAATCCATAAACATTAAACTTTAAAAGAAATACACAATTTTTTTTACCTTTATAATGTATGTGAATAACACAGGCAATACAGATGATCAGCAAAACAAAACCGAAGCCTGAAAGAACGGACCACATCACTATGTCTGAATTATAGGGGTTTGGTGGGAATCCCAGAGTCACAGGTGTGAGAGTTGGTGTTATCTCTGTACTTGAATTAGACACTACAATTGCTGTGAGAGAGAAGTATAAATGCCTATCATTTGGATTGCTCATTAGACTTTTTAAGTACCAAAAAAGTGTGGAGTGCATTGACTGTTGCATAAAACAAATGTATTGTATTCTCAGTCCTTTAACAGAATAGAATCAAAATAATTAAAATAAAGCTTACCCGCATACACGTGCGTCCCATTTCCATATTCAACAGTTCCAAGTCCAGGTACATTCATATGTGCTGTGCAGTAATACATGCCACTATGATTTAGACTTATTGACTGCAGGTGCAGCGTTGCGTTGATAAACACAGATCCATTTACAGGCGATGGATAGGCAGACTTAACAATCGCTTCACTCTGCACTATAGTTTGATTATCTCGCAACCACTTAACCATGATTCCTTCCACGCGTGAATCAGCTTTAATATGACAGGTGATGAGGACATTGGTGCCTTCTTTTGTTGTTATCTCAGGTATTTGCCACACAGATATGTCCCAAGATGCATCTCCAGAGACGAGACCTGTGAGAAAGCAGCAAAAAAAGTAAAGTAATTCATTCATTTAATTGTTATATATCTAGCAGCATCTTTATATTCAATTGTGCTACTGAGGAGGAAAGGGGACGATAATACCTGAGAACCAGATGGTTACGAAGAGAGCAGAGAGACTGGTGCGTGTCATTTTATTTAACCTGCATAGACAGCGGGTTTCTCAAGTTAGCAGAGGCAGCTGTTTTTCATTTTTCATGTGTGGTGTATCCTGCCGTTTGAATCAAAGCATCACCTTATCTGCATAAACTCACACGCTACGGTGACACCCACAGACAGGCCACTTGAGCTCTTTTTAACAGTTGACTCAGTGGCATCAATGATTTTTTTTTTTTTGTCTAATGTAAATTATTCATTTAGCAAATCTATTAATTTATTCAAAAATACAATGAAATCCAATTCATACAAACGATGCAATTCATACTTTCTACGATGAACATGCTTTTAGTTTCTGTATTAAAATGTATTTTGAGATTTTGTTGAGGTGCAAAAGGCCAAAAAAATGAAACAGCTGTCATTATATCATAATGAACAAAAAATCATTAATGAAAGAATGACATTCTTGAAAAGAAAAAAGAATACAAATATTTTAACCTTGAAAACATCTTTAAACCCTTTTTTTAAATAATATATGAACATACATAGAACATGTGATTACACTTTATTTTAAGATGTCCTTGTTACAATGATTGAATATTAATTAACAATATGTCCTTACTAGAAAATTATGGTTACATGTAATTATGCATCATTTACTGGTTTTACTATAGTATATACATGAGATACGAGTAATAAGAACATTGTAAAATAAAGTGTTACTTAAGATTTTTCCGTACTGTATCATCCAGTGCACTATTGTATAACAGTAAAGTGTGATACAGCTTTTGTACACTATGCTGCGCTGTTTGCGCCCTCCTCACTAAAACCATGGGAAAATTGCCAGTGTGATTTCTTGGCAGCCTTGTAATGTGATTTTGGGGCCATTATCCATATTGCTGTATCAGTTGTAACTTTAACACTCCCTTCTCCCTTTGACAGATAATGGTAATATGGGCAAGTAGACAGACTTTTTTTCTCCGCTTGCCTCTCCTCTTACATTGCTTCAGCGTCCTGCACACATTCTCTCTCTCTCTTCCTCTCTGAAGTGGGATAGTGTTCAGCCCGGGTGGTAATTAGGTCATAAGCCATCTCTGACTCACTCAATGTCTCATCCATCGCCTTTCACACTTACCTAATCATCTGACATCCCCATGAGTGTCTCCATGAGCTCTTGCCTTCTTGTTTCTCCTCCGGTCTTCCATTCAGTTTCCTGATCTTCTCCGCACGGCTCTTGTAAATGTTCTCACCATCTCCTGATCCTTCCTAACTCACACCGCGTGTTACTCCTGCATCATGAGTCCTGGTCTTCAACGGTCGGACGAAAAGACAAACCGCTCTATCGATGGAAGCTCGGACCACAGTTTTGGAAGGTGTGCTGAGGCGCAGGGGGCACCACCACTGAAAAATTACATTTTTTTGACTATTTTCACTTGCTTTTGTCCGGCATGGCCTATTAACATTGTGGCGTTGGTTTTTTCTCTAATGGTGAGTAGAAAAGACTATTGTTTTTTTTATATTATGGAGTGTATCTACCTGGACAGTTGCATGTTCGTATGCTGCTTTTTTTAAAAGAATAGTTCACTCAAAAATGAAAATTCTGTCATAATTTGTGGAACAATAAAAAGATATTTTGAGAATTTTTCTGTCCACACAATGGAAGTCAATGATGACCAAAACTGTTTAGTTGCCAACATTCTTCAAAATATCTTCTTTTGTGTTTCACAGAAGAAAGAAAGTTACATAGTACAGGTTTGCAATGACTTGAGAGTAAACAATGGCAGAATTTTCATTTTTGGGTGAACTATCCTTTTAAATCACATTTGTTAACTGAGGATATAGATCATAATGTACAGTTTCTATTTGGTCTTATCTGGTGTTTTTCTGAAGAGTTGTTTTTGTGTGTTTATAGTTTTGCACTTGGCAGAGTGTTATACATGCGGCTTTGAAATCTGACTAAACCTAATGTTCTTATGGTCCAGATAGACATATAAGTGTTATAAATAGACCGGCCTCAAGTATCTGTGCAGTTCACTTTTGTAGCACTCCCACACTTGCAAGCAAGACAGCATACACTCTCACACACACACCCTTTCCCCTGCTCAAACATTCACACGGCAGCCTGCAGACGTGCTCATTTGCACAAGGCACGTGAAAGGTGGATACTGTGATGATGAACTTTCTCAGGCTGTTGTTCTCTATACTGTAGATGAACAGGAAGGTTTTTTCAGTGGTTTTCTACCTGACTTTTCACACCTTGACCTCAGAACGAGAGACACAGTCTTACACTCTGGCCACTAACATGTAATTCACTTTCTTTTTAATGTCAATTAAAAAGAAAGTTACTTTTGCTATGAATTTAATATATATTAAAAAGCAATTTTTCTCTTTTTTTTTTGTCTTACGGCCATGACCCCATCAATACGACTCAACATTAATACTATATATTATATACATCATGTATTAATTGTAAATGTTGAGGCTGTAACGCTCGCCTAAATCAGACACGAGAATAGAACCGTGTTTTATTTGCGAGCATTACAAGGCAAATACCTGAGGCCTGTGTATTATTGAAGTCACTAATATTATTAATTTTATAATTAATATTAATGTATAGTACACTTAAATAATTGTGGGTAAATAATTGTAAATGATAAATAAAAAAGCATTTTAAAATACTTGTTTTTTTAGCATAGAAAATTATATAAATAGTGTATATATAATATTTAAATAATTGTATAAAATATATATAAAATAATTATTAAATTAAAGCTATTTCAAAATAAATAATTTTATACCATATTATTTTTATAATTTAAATGCATTATAAATGTGTACACACATTTAAATGATTTTTTTTAAATAATATTATTTCAAGATTTTTAATCAATAATAATTGCAACTGGAAAAAAAACATTAGATTAATGCTTAGATTTTAAGTCTAATAACAACCTTAATATTTTTAAGTAATAATTTCTGCTTTACAGGTTTAAGCACTGCACCATAGGAATAAAGAATAATACATCAGTGATGTATGAATCAGGGGGTGCGGATCAAGACAAAATGGGTATAAATGTAGCATACGTTCATTTGTATATTTTTGTAAGGTACAGTGATTCATGGCATAAATGTGATTCATCCGCATCATAAAAATGAATCATTTTCTGTCATACCTTTCCCCTGCATTCAGCAATCAAATCTGTGCTATAAAAAATGCCACCAGCAGACTAGAGACAGTGGGCTCTGAATGGGGTAAAGTGCAGGGGCTTGCTGTGGAGAGCAACACCTCCAGTTTCAAGTTGACTCTACCGCTGCTACACATTAAAACTTTAGGGCTCGCTGACTACAGCAGCTGCAGACGCCACCACACCGCCTGTGAGAAACTAGAGGAGCATCACAAATCAACCCAGCTTAATGCCCTCTGACACACTGGGGGGTTTTATGCATACAGTATCATTGTCAAAAGTGGTTAACACATGATCTTTATCTTTACAAGAGCAGTGATTTGATCCTTTAAAATATTTTTTTCTCACTAAACTTCATGCTCATTCATGAAAAAAACAACTTTTTTGTAATCAGTAGGATTTACTTGAGATTTACTTCCACATTTACTTAAAATGCATAAAATATTAAAACTTTAGATATTTCATTTGTTTTATTTCATGTTTCATGTTTTAGGCATACATCTGACAACATGTAGTGATGTTTACCACTAATAAAGAGTTTAGACCACCTGCTTTGTCTCAAATGTTATCAAAACCTGACAATTCTGGTTTTAATATGCGAATCAGTTTAGTGAAGTCAGATGATCTTTGTCATCCCAGTAAATGTGATTTAGTGTGAGTGGGCTGTATGTCCAAGTCTAAGTTTGCTGTCTGATCTTATTAAGAGAGACGGAATGAGGCTGGCATCTTCACTATGCCCCTCATTGCTGTCTGCTTTATGGGCCACCTATACTGAGGTCTAGTTTTTACTTGGAGACCTGTCACTGATGTTGCTATCCAAATATGCTACAAATGTATTTTTACAATAAGCATACTTTCTGTATTGCTTCATTTAAATTAATGCCTTTGAGTTTTTCCATCCTCAAATTATTTTGTGAAATTGTGTCGTCACGGTTATGATTTCTCTCTCATTCAGTCTCAAAGCAGTTATGATGCAGAAGACTATGAAGGAGCTCAGCGGTTGGGGAGAAAGGCTCTTCACATGGGAATTGCTTCCTTAGTCATTGGCCTTGTGATCATAATGATCTTCTCTGTTGTACACTTCACCACGGTACTCATTTGCACAAAGCTGTCTTGAATATATTATAAATATGGTTTGTTTAAAGAATAGTTCACGTAAAAATGAAAATTCAGTCATTATTCACTCGCCAAACCCGTATGAACTTTTGGAGAAAATCCTAGCCACTGTTTTCAGTATAATGACAGTGAAGGACTGGCCAAAAATACAAAAAACACCATAAAAGTATTCTAAAAGTAGTTCTTGTGACTCATGCGCTTGCGCTATATTTCAAGTTTTCTGAAATTACACGGTAGCTTTATATGAGAAACAGACTGAAATTTAACTCATTAATCACTGAACGTCTTGGAGTAATCATTAAAGAAGCAGCAATGCTTAATTTGTGAACACAGTTTTCCTTTAAGTTGAATCTTCTATATGAATAAAAATATTCTACTCACAAAATCAGTGTAAATAGTTTGATAACAAATTAGACTGATCTGTTTTTTTAAAGTCACTCACTGACTTGATGGTCCGATTGCAGTGGTTAAAATTCAACTGGAGGAGAAGATTATCAGTGAACTTAAATTTCAGTCTGTTCATCACATAAAGCCTTTATGTGGCTTCAGATAACTACAAGAGACGTACGTGCTTTAGGGAGCATTTTAATCTTTTTTGAGACTTGAAAACTCCTATTCCTATTTATTCACCAGATTTTCTCTTTTTCTTTTTCACAAGGGAAAACTGTGTTTGGAACAACTTGAGGATTAATTTTTCTGTGAACTATTCCTTTATGTACATTGTTGTCTTACTCGCATATCCTATTAAGTAACATGATTTATTCATTGTGTTCTCATTTAGTAAGAATCTTTCTTTTTTACTTTTTTTATATCAACTAAACAGAATGCAATCTGATCATGGAGAAACCAGT